TAGATGTAAGCAGAAGCTGAAAAGAGTTTGCAAGGTTAAGGCTGACAAGGATATGTCTGATGGGACAGGAAAATGTAAGCAAAGGATAGAATATTGTAACTGTCCTTTTAAAATTCAGATTTACAGTTTCCATTTATTACTCATGAAGTTAAATTGACATAAGAAGTATTTACCAAGTAAATAAAACACAACTGAAATGAAAAAAAAATCAAAACATTGGCAAAAAATAAAATAAGAAGCAGTTCACCTCAAGAATGTATGCAGAGAATAATATTCCATTTAGAATAATAATTATTCTTTATTTTGTGTCAAAACTTGAGAAAAGATACGTAATAATTCATTTAATTATTTTAACAATCCTAGAGGATCAACATTATTATATCCATTCAAAATGAGAAAGCATGAGGCTAAACAAAGGCTAAGTAATTTGCTTAAGATAACAAACATATCTATAAAAAGGTCAATATTCTGTAGATGTCTTTCTGATTCTAAGATGGTATTATCACTATGCTATATGAATGCTAATGAGACCTCACATTCCTGTACTATTAAAAAGGTAACAGTTATGGGAATTCCTCCTAGATGTGCGCTTCAGAAAATGTCACTAAGGTTTACCTAATACAGCAGAGATAAACTAAACATGCTACTAAGGATTTCATGTTACCTTACGTTTCCAAAGTTAAAATTTGTTTAATTCATATGTCAATAAGCATAAAGAAGGAAGTCCCAGCTGATTTATAACTTAAATAGATAGGATAATGTACAAATTTAAAGAAATTTATCATTTTTTAACTATGTAAAAAGGAGGAAACCTTTCTTTTCCGCCACAAAACTATTGTTAGAGACAAAGACAGGGAAATCTGTCAGTGTCTGTATGTGCAATTTCTTTAAAGCATGTTCCCCTGCTGACTACTAGCATCATAAACTCCATAAGCCATATCTAGAGAGTCATAAAATGCCTAGATCATGGAAATAATACTGTTAAAACTAGGAAACCTTAGGGATGGATTTAAATGCTATACAACAAATTATTTTTGCATTTTCTCCCTTACTATTATACTTACGACACATCAGTCACACAAGAGTACAGGGAGCTAGGATGCATGTAAAGCAACATATGGATAAATTGTTCCTTTCAGCAAGAAAAGAAAGCTTCTATATACATGTGCATGATAAAAACAATGAAAAGTACAAGTAATGTAGAATTCTATGTGTGAGTAGGGGCTATTTTATCTTATCATCTGTAAATTAGAGTCTGAAGTATCTATATGAAGAAACAAACTAGAGATGGTTTCTCATATTATTGATGCTTTTTTAAAATATATATTTTATTGATTTTTTTACAGAGAGGAAGGGAGAGAGATAGAGAGTCAGAAACATCGATGAGAGAGAAACATCAATCAGTTGCCTCCTGCACATCTACTGGGGATGTGCCCACAACCAAGGTACATGCCCTTGACCGGAATCGAACCTGGGACCTCTCAGTCCGCAAGCCGATGCTCTATCCACTGAGCCAAACCGGCTTTGGCGAGAAGTTAATGCTTTTTTTCCCCTTCAGTTTTTTTGAAAGCCACAATTAAAGTACATTACATATGCAACTTGAGGATACTTCAACACTGCAAAAAGGAGGAACAGAAATACTCTTGTACTTGGAATAGAGATTATGCAAACTACTATATCTACAGCACATCTACCTAGCTTTCCCAATAGAAGTCTATCAGGAATCATCATTTTGAACTACAAGTAACATCCAGGCAGGGACCATGAACTAGGAACCAAAGATCACATGCCTAGGATAAAAGCACAATGAGATAATATGTGAGTGTATAAGAACCTTCTAACTTCATTAAAAAAATTATATGACTATTTCACAGACTATTAAATACTTTGAGAAACTAGGAAATAAAGAAACATCGTGAATTGTAACTAATAATGCACATGTTAATTTATAAGAAAACAGGCAAGTGACAGACAAAAAAATATAAAAGAGAGCCAAGGAAAAATAAGACATACAGTATGTTTACCAGCAACTATAGCTCTTAGTTGATGTAATATGCAAAACATCATAAAATTAGAATATCTACAAGTGGAGAGGGTAAAAGGAAATGTATATTTAATAATAATATGTTCTCTTTTTCTGTTTTATTCCACTTCCAAGAAATTCCCGTTGCTCCCATTTTTCCTATTGTCAGGTCAATAGAGTGAAATAGTGAGAAAAGTAAAGAGCAAATAAGACAAATGTGTTTCTATGATCATAAAATTATGACAATACAGCACTTACTATGTACTTAAGCACATAATGTTTTGCCACATCCTAATCTTTCTATGTTATATATTTACAGAAGTAAAATGATGAAACCTGAGAAGAAGTGAAAGGTTGGAAGTGAAGGAAGCAAACAGCATCTATCTAGCTGAAAATTTCTCAATATAAAATATGATAAATAAGGTCTGGTTGACAAATTTAATGCAACATTTTTAAATTGTTCTATGAAACAACTATAGTATCTATTTTAAATTATTCTTATGAAGGCAACTTAACATTTTTGGAATTGACATGTATAGTCACAAAATAAAAAAGTAAACATTTAAACAACATCTCTGCGCAACCTATTTCCTAACTTTACACATCTTTTAATAGAGGCGTAGGTAGATTTGTAGGTATAAGCTATTTTATAAAAGGAAACCCTATTTAATTTATATTTAATCAACTAAAAGTCTGTAAATAAGTAGTAATTTTCATAGATATTGCCTAGTGCCAGCACCCCACCTCAAAATTAAATGTTACATAACTTACTCATTTTTCAGAATCAATATTGTGAACTGATACAACTAAAAAATACCACCAAAATATAATAGCTACCATTCTAAAAAAGACCACAATATATGCAGCATTATTTTTGCACTCTACACTATTAACTTTGTTAAGTTCATAAAAAAGTAAAAAAAAAACATTATTTTCTCTAATATCTCTAAAATATATGGTAAAGGCAATATTAAGTATTAAGATTACTGGGTTCTGAGGAGCAAACATGAATTGCCTATTTCCAATTACTACAGTAATGAGTTTTTGGTATATCATTGAAGTAAATGAAAATGAAATAAAATATTTACAATGGTAACACTACAAAAAGTCATTTCACAGAAGCATGAACTATAACCCACATGACTTCCTATGTGGTATATTAAAAATAATCTTTATAGTCTAATAATGCAAGCTTATATACGAAATACCAAAATAATGACTTTTAGATGCCATAAGTATGTGCACCTATTATGGTGACCAAAATAGTCTAAGGATAAAGGAAATACTATAAAGCAGCATTTGCGAGAGTATTTATTTATCCATACCACACCTATTTCAGAAATTATTTAAAGTGACTCTGGCTTCAAAGAACAATTATTCTGTGTCCTGTACTTATTAATAAACAGAAATTCAATGTTCAGTTGACCTAAACTGTACTGTATAGCAACACCTAACCAAGTTACTACCATGTAAATGACTTTGGAAACAAGACCTATGTCCTCTATTTGGCTTACATGCTGATAAATTTTACAACCTTATTGTGAGCACATCAGTATCTCTACATAACCTGAGCTTAAAACATGTTTAAATCACCAGTTAAACATTATAAGGAGTTAAACATTAATTTAATTTACAGCCAAAAGTGTTCAGGGTCATCTTGACAATATGAATTGTTTTTTTCTTTATCACAATTGTTTTTCCTTTCTCACATATATTTGGCCAGTGGTTACTAATCAGATGACTTCTTTACAAATGAAGTTTTATTCCGCATTACTGAAATAGCAGTGACTCTGCAACTACTCCAACTAACACAGAAGCGCTAGAACTACCCACACTGTACACGGTACTAGCTTCTCTGTAACGCTCAGACCTGTCTGCGTTCCATCAATTTCCTTCTTTGGGAGCCGGTCAACTTTAACAATAGAAGGCACCATATAATATCAAGGCACATATTCTGAATCACAGCAGATATGCGAGTCCACTTCCTTTACAGATTGTTTTTCCCTGTCTTAACTTTTTATTTTTATATTAAAATTTTGGGGTGACACTGGTTAATAAGATTCTGACACCTGGGCAGATTTTTCGCGTTTCTGAATGACAGCCCCAAACCACTAAGCTTGTGGCTGTCCTTGGTGCTGAAACTCACTCTTTTTCTGCCTTTTCACTGAAAACAAACAACAACAAAACCCCACAAAAAAAACCCTGTGGTCCCAATCCCATTTGGAGAAGATAAAAATAACTCTACATTGTGTGTGTTGGGGATGGGGGCGAGGCGGGGGATGATGGCCGAAGATGGGAGGTTTTTAAAAGGAACTGTTAAGTTTCTGGCCAGAAAATGCCAACTATTAGGGTGGGGGTGGGGAGGGGTTGCTGCAAACATCTCGACTCTAGAGGGCATTTCCCTTTCGGTGCCGGGAGACCCAGGGAATCTGGACTGCGGCAAAGACCCGAGTCGCGGTTCGACCCGGGCGGGAGCGGCGC